ACCCGGAATTGGATTCGGGAGCCCCAAAAATGCCCCAAAATGCCCCAAAATTCACCCGGGAACCCAAAATTGCCCAAAAATGCCCCAAAATTCTCCAAAATTTACCCAGGAGCCCCAAATCCACCCGGGATCCCCAAAAATGCCCCAAATTTGCCCAAAATTTGCCTAAAATTGCCCCAAAAATGGCCCCAAAATTCACCCGGGACCCCAAAATTGCCCAAAAATGCCCAAAAATGCCCCAAAATTCACCCAGGACCCAAAATTCACCCGAGATCCCCAGAAATGCCCCAAAATTGCCCAAAATTTTCCCAAAAATTGCCCAAAATTGCCCAAAATTGCCCAAAATTCACCCGGGAGCCCCAAAATTGCCCAAAATGCCCCAAAATTGCCCAAAAATGCCCCAAAATTGACCTGGGACCCCAAAATTCACCCGGGATCCCCAGAAATGCCCCAAAATTTCCCAAAATTTCCCAAAAATTGCCCAAAATTGCCCAAAATTGCCCAAAAATTGACCTGGGACCCCAAAATTCACCCGGGATCCCCAGAAATGCCCCAAAATTTCCCAAAATTTCCCAAAAATTGCCCAAAATTGCCCAAAAATGCCCCAAAATTGCCCAAAATTCACGCGGGACCCCAAAATTCACCCGAGATCCCCAAAATTGCCCCAAAATGCCCCAAAGTTCACCCGGGACCCCAAAATTGCCCAAAAATGCCCAAAATTCACCCAGGATCCCCAAAATTGCCCAAAATTGCCCCAAATTGCCCCAAATTGCCCCAAATTGCTCAAAAATGCCCCAAAATTCTCCTGGGAAACCCAAAATTCACCCAGGATCCCCAAAATTGCCCAAAAATGCCCAAAATTGCCCAAAAATGCCCCAAAATTCACCTAGGACCCCAAAATTGCCCAAAAATTGCCCAAAATTGCCCCAAAAATGCCCCAAAATTTTCCTGGGAACCCCAAAATTGCCCAAAATGGCCCAAAATTTCACTCGGGAGCCCCAAAATTTGACCTAAAAGGCCCAAAATTGCCCCAAAATTCACCCAGAAAAATCCTCCCAAAAATCAGGAAAATCCTCCCCCAAAAAAATTGGGAAAAAATAAAAATCAGGGAAAATCCCCCCAAAATATTTCCCGATTTTTTGGGGATTTTTTCCTGATTTTTTAGGGATTTTTTCTGATTTTTTTTGATTTTTTCCCGATTTTTAGTGATTTTTTCCCCGATTTTTTTTAAATCAGCAATCAGGAAAAAAAATCACTCAAAAATCAGGAAAAAAATCCCAAAAAATCGGGAAAAAAAATCACTCAAAAATCGGGGGAAAAATCACTAAAAAATTGGGAAAAAAATCCCGAAAAAACGGGAAAAATCTCAAAAAATCGGAAAAAATGTGTAAAAANGAAAAAATGTGTAAAAAATCAGGAAAAAATCCCAAAAAAAAACAGGAAAAAATGCCAAAAACCACAGAAAAATCCCAAAAAATTCGGGGAAAAATCCCAAAAAAATGGGAAAAAAATCACTAAAAATTCGGGAAAAAATCCCTAAAAAATCACAGAAAAATCCAAAAAAATCGGGGAAAGAAATCTCCAAAAAAATCAGGAAAAAAATCCCAAAAAATCGGGGGAAAAAATCACTAAAAAATCGGGGGAAAAATCACTAAAAAATTGGAAAAAAAATTCCAAAAAATCGGGAGAAATCTCAAAAAATCGGGAAAAAATCCCAAAAAATCTGGGAAAAAATCCCAAAAAAATACCAAAAAATCGGGGAAAAAATTCCTAAAAAATCAGGAAAAAATCCCAAAAAAATCATGGGAAAAATAAAAAAAAATCAGAAAAAATCCCAAAAAATCAGGAAAAAAATCCCCAAAAAATCAGGAAAAAAATCCCTAAAAAATCAGGGAAAAATCCCAAAAAATCAGGAAAAAATCCCTAAAAAATCATGAAAAAATCCCAAAAAATCGGGGAAAAAATCCCTAAAAAATCCCAAAAAAACCCTGAAAAAATCCCAAAAAAATCATGAAAAAACCCCAAAAAATCAGGAAAAAATCCCAAAAAATCATGAAAAAATCCCTAAAAAATCAGGAAAAAAATCCCAAAAAATCACAGAAAAATCCCAAAAAATCGGGAAAAAATCCCAAAAAATCAGGAAAAAATCCCAAAAAATCAGAAAAAAATCCCTAAAAAATCAGGAAAAAATCCCAAAAAAATCAGGAAAAAATCCAAAAAAATCGGGGGAAAAATCCCTAAAAAATCATGAAAAAATCGCTAAAAAATCCCAAAAAACCCCTAAAAAAATCAGGAAAAAATCCCAAAAAATCGGGAAATTCCCCAAAACCCGTGAATTCTCCCCAAATTTGTATTTCCCAGGCGTGGCTGCAGCAGTACGGGTACCTGGCGCCCGGCGAGCTGCGGGTCCCCAAAAGATCGGGAAAAAATCGGGGAAAAATCACTAAAAATTGGGAAAAAATCCCAAAAAATCAGAAAAAATCCCTAAAAAATCTGGAAAAAATCCCCAAAAAATCAGGAAAAAATCCCTAAAAAATCATGAAAAAATCCCTAAAAAATCATGAAAAAAATCCCAAAAAATCACAGAAAAATCCCAAAAAATCAGAAAAAAATTCCAAAAAAATCAGGAAAAAATCCCAAAAAATCAGAAAAAAACCCCAAAAAATCAGGAAAATCCCCAAAACCCGTGAATTCTCCCCAAATTTGTATTTCCCAGGCGTGGCTGCAGCAGTACGGGTACCTGGCGCCCGGCGAGCTGCGGGCGCGGCCCCGCCAAGGCGGCATCCCCAAAAGATCGGGAAAAAATCGGGGAAAAATCACTAAAAATCGGGAAAAAATAAAAAAAAAAATCAGAAAAAAATCCCTAAAAA